TATTGCCAATGTTTTTTTTTTTTTTTTTTTTTTTTTTTTTTTTTTTTTTTTTTTTTCTATCAGTTTCGGCATTTCGGGTTTCACATTGAGGTTCTTGATCAATTTGGAGTTGATTTTTTGACAGGGTCTAATTTCATTCTTCTACATGTGGAGGTCCAGTTTTCTCAGAATCATTTATTGAAGATATTGTCTTCAGAATGTATTCTTAGCATCTTTTTCAAATGGCAGATTGCTATAATTGTGTACACTGATGTTCAAGTCTTTTGTTTATTTTTAAATACCTATTTATTACTTTTTATTTCACATATATGAGTGTATTGTCTGCACGGTTATAAGTGCACCTGTGTTGTGCAATGTCTGCGGAGTTCAGAAGAGGGCATTGGATTCCACTGGAACTAGAGTTATTGCAGTTATTAGCTGCTGTTAGGTGTGGGGAATTGAATCTCAGTCCTCTGCAAAGAAAGCCAGTGTTCTTAGCCACTGAGCTATATCTCCAGCCTCAGTTTTCCGTTGTTCCATTTGTCTACATATCTGTTTTGTGCAAATACCATGCTGTTTTTCCTAATTATAGCTCTTTAATAGTTTGAAATCTTATATAATAATCCCTCCAGCATTGCTCTTTTAGCTCATGATTGCTTTGGCTATCTGGAGTATTTGTGATTCCGTATGAATTCTAGAATTTTTTTCTATTTCTGTGAAAAATGTCTTGGATATTTTGATTGGGATTGTGTTGAATCTGTGGATTTCTTTTGGTAGGATTTTAATTATTACTGTATTATTTATACTGATACATGAGCATGGGAGGTCTTTCCATCTTCTAGTGTTTTCTTCAATCACTCTCTTCAAAGATTTAAACTTTTAATTGTACAGATATTTACACTTTCCATTTCTAGATATTTTTGAGGCTAGTTTGAACGGCAATTGGTCTATGATCTCTTTCTCTGACTGCTTCTAATTTAAATAATACAGAAGGCCAGTGATTTCTAAAAACTGATATTCCATACTGTCACTTTGCCCAAAATGTTTATCTTTTTTAGATGTTTTCTTGAGGATTTTGGAGATCTCTTATGTACAATATCATATCATCTGCAACTAGAGATAATTGGATATCTTCTTTCCAAATAGCAACCCTTTAGCTGCTTTATGTTATATTATTTCTCTAGCCAGGGTTTCAACCCTATATTAAGGTGTTGGGATAATAGACAGCCTTGTCTCATTCCTGATTTTAATTGGAATGCTTTGAGTTTTTCTTCATTTTAGAAAGATGGTGGTAGTTTGTTGTATATAGCCTTACTTGTGTTGACTTCTGTTACCTCCAGTTCAGTTCCTCTAAGATTTTTATCATGAAATCATACTGGATTTTGTCACAGGCTTTTTGTGCATGTATTTAACTATCATGTTATTTTTGTCTTTGAGTTCATTTATATGAGTTATTATATTTATTGACTTATGTATATTTAATCATCCTTGCATCATTGGAATAAAGCCAACTTCATCATGGTGGATGACATTTTTGGATATGTGTCTGTATGCAATTTGTGAGTATTTTGTTGAGATTTTTTTTTTTTTTTTTTGCATCTGTGTTCATTAAGGATATAGTCCTATACCTTTCTTTTTTGTTGTGTCTTTACCTGATTTGGGTATTAGAGTAATACTGGCTTGGTAAAATGAGGTTGGAAGTTCTCCGTCTGTTTCTAAATTTTTAAATGATTGAAATAGTATCAAGTGCAGTTCTTTGAAGGTCAGGTAACATTCTCCTGTGAAATCGTCTGGACTTGGGCTTTTTATAGTCAGAAGGCTTTGCAATACAATTTCAATCTCCTTATTTGTTATGGGTACAAGTCTTGATCTCTTCTTGGTTTAACTTTGGTGGTTTGACTGACTCTAGAAATTTCATCAATTTGTTTTAGTTTTTGTAATTTGGCAGAGTGTAGTTTTAATGTAATACTTTATAATGTTCTGGGTTATTTTGGTGTTCATCGAAATGGTTCCCTTTCCATCTCAGATTTTGTTGATTTGGGTCTTCTCTTTTTAAATTTTGTTTAGACTGGCTGAGTATCTGTCGTTCTTTATCTTTTGAAAGAACCTGCCCTTAGATTCATTAATTTTTTGGGTTCTTTTCTTTGTTTATGTGTCATTGAACTCTGCTGTGATCGTCATTTCTTCTCATCTACTAAGTTTGGGTTCAGTTTGTTTTTGCCTTTCCAAAGTCTTGAACCTTACTGTTAAGCCATTTATATGTGCTCTTGCCGATTTTTTAATGTGGCCATGTAAAACTATAAACTTCCCTCTTAGGACTGCTTTTAAAGTGTCCCAGAGGTTTTTAGTTGTATCTTTAAGATTTTTGTTTATGCCTTTTCTGACTTTTTAACGTAGATGCTTAAAGCTATAAATTTCTCTCATAAGATGGCTTTTAATGTGTCCCAGTAGTTTTGTTAGACTGTATCTTCAATTTCATTTAGTTTCAGGAATATTTTTATTTATTTCTTTTTTTCTTTTGACCCACTCATCATTCAGTAGTGATTTTTTAAAATTTCCATGAGTTGTTGTAGTTACTAGAGCTTCTTTATTTTTGCTTTTCAGCTTTTTTTCATTGTAGTCTGATAGAATACATTTGATTATTTCAGTAACTTTGTATTTGTTGAGGGTTTTTTTTTTTTGTCCCAGCATGTGATCTATTCTAGAGAGACTTGTGGGTTGCTGAGAAGAATGTATAATATTTGGTACTTTGGTGGGATATTCTGTAGATGTCTGGTATTTCTCTGTTTATTC